ACAGGTAAGCACTACAAAAACCTAATTTTTTATTTTTTTTTATGTTTTGGTAAAAAAGTTAAAAAAATTATTTTTTTAATTAATTATTTAAAAAAATATTGAAGATTGCCATTTTGTAGAGTTTATTTTTCTGAAAATATTGACCTTTCAACATTTTAATTTCATTAATTTCCTGATTTTTAATAATTTTTTTAATTAATAAGTAAAACGGCGAAAAACCGGTTTTTGTCCGGGCGGCGAGTCCCCCTCTACGGCTAATAGGTAAATCCTCACGGGACACCCTGTATAATATTATAATACTAGTATACTACACTATAATATTATATAAGTACAGTGAAACCCCTGAACATTTTTGTTTCAAAAAAACTGAGCTATTTAGGAGGAAGGATGATGTGGTGTTCATTAAGGAAGGGTTTACTATATATATATTACATTCACTGAAAATAAACTTAACTTATCACCTATATTGTAACCGTAACTTACAAGCGTAAATGGTTTTCAGCTGGAATCTTGAAGTGAACGGAAAAATGCTCCACCACATCGTCGGCCTTCCTAGACTGATGTCCTGGAAGCTCGGTTGTAAAAACTTTGATACTGTACGTGACATAAACGACACGGGTTTCTCTGAGGTTGGAAAAAAAAATGTTATGACAAATATAAGGTTTACACTATTGAGCATTATATTATATCATATTAGTAAAATTATCTATACATCGCCAAAATTATCTTGCTAAGGTAAATTGGTACACGATCCAATATTAATTTTATAGTTACGCTACATGTCTGAGTTCTGGACTAGAAAAAGTATTCGATATTTTAGCAGATTCAACAGAAAATTAATGGGGCTTTCATAGTTTATCATAGTCTATTACATTTGTAATTGCTAAAGGAATAAATTAACTGTTATGTTTTTTTTATTGTTTTATCTTTATATGAGTATAATATAGTATATAAACATTAAATAAATAATTTGTTAAGATCCTTATCGCTTTTTTACGTATTTCATGATTAGTTTTTTGTTGTGTAGGTTTTCGAGTGTAATATTTGCCATCCTTACAGGCTATATATTAACTATATTTTTTATCAATATAAGTAAATACCGATACTTTGTTGCAATATTTTGTAGGTAACGACATTTATTAGTTTTCTATTCGATATCCATATCCACATATTGTAATATTATGTATATATAAAGTAGATGGATTAATAGAGAAATTAGTAAATTAAGTAGTTGTGTGATAATGTGAGTTATTACCTCATCAATCGAGAACGTCTGGTCCGATTTGGCTCAAATTTTTTTTTACATGTTCGTATTTTCCAGGAGAAATTTTTTATGAAAGAAAATTTTAGGAAAATCCCCCGTAAAAGTAGGAAATCAGGATGTAAAAAGTACAACAGTGGCTCATCAGTGTATTATATATTGGTTGCTATTGGTTAATCGGGATTTTTTGTTGATTTATATTCTTTTTTTTTGTCAATATATATATATATAATGAATATTTGTGTGTAGATTAGACCTCTTGGAAGAAGACAAGCTAATTTAAAAATGTTTAAATTTGGTTTTTTTTTTATTCAACTGATATTAGTACGGTTAGGTTTGGTTAGGATTTTGTATTAATTGATTATATGAATCCACCATAGGTGGGATACGACAAACTTGGTATAACTTTGATACATTAGAATTAAATCATGCACTTACGTCAAACAGCACGGGATGGGATTTTCACGATACAGTTGTCCGGAAATAGGTTATAGGTTAATATTTGGACCGTATGGAATATAATTCGGGTTAGCCCGTCGTTGGTCGCGTCTTTTTTTTGTACTCCTTTGGTCGCGTGGTGAGAGATTCTCTCACTTTCATCAATAAGTCTTATAATATGTAATAAACTACCAAATTATATTTATTATATAAATGAGAACTTATAAACTATATATATTTCAGTA